TGTTGTTTCATACTCTTATCAACATGTATTTCAAAAAATTGTAGGTTTGAAAATGATACATGTGCTCAAAAGTTAGTTACGTGGTTGAGGTCAAACAATTTTATAACATCACAAGCATTAGCAAATTCTAAAAGAATATGGATGTCCGAATATAGAATCATGCATACGGTATTCACACTAGTTTTATAGTATTCATGAGTACATTCAAACTAGTGTGAATACCCGTGAATACTATAAAACTAGTGTGAATACTGTATGCATGATTATATATTCGAATATCCATATTCTCTTTGAATTTGCTATCAACAATGTTTGTGATGTTGTAAAATTGCTTGACTTTAATCACGTAACTAACTTTCGAGCACATGTATCATTTTTAAATCTATAATTTTTTGAAATACGTGTTTGATGTAGTGTTACTGATTAAACTCACCAACTGCGCAGGTATCGAGCAAAATCTAAATTGTGATTGATGTACAATTTGCTAGGTCCAATTGTACAAAGTGATGGTCTTGCATAGTATGGTTATATTCGTTAAAAAACTATTCAAATTATATAGAATATAAGTAAAAGTATTTGATTTACCTCTGAAATTTTGTACGCAAATAACACATGCTAGTAAAATAATTATTTTTTGTAGCAGATTGATATTATAGGATTTGTAGTATATTCAATAACTTGATACTCAAATCACTGATGAGGCAAAGTTTGCCTAAATAAACTTTACAGTGTCCTAACTCCTTACAAAAGAAAAAAACGCTAAATAGTCCTAATTGACATCGCAAGTTACGGCAACGTGCCAGTTGCATCTAGGTCTAATTTTTTTTTAGGTCAAAATCTAGTCCTAATTGGTTCTGCTGTTTCTTGATCATGTTGTATGCTTCCGAATTAAAATTGTATTAAAATAGCATGTGAATGAGCATTTGTCTTTAATTAAGGAGTAAAAAGAATTTAAAGTATAAACAACAAACTATAAATAGTTTATGAACTAGATTATGAGAAAGTTTTAAATTTTAAAATTGACTGGTGATAGGGTTGGTTATAATCCAGTACTTTTTATGTATTAAAATAAATAAAAAAATTTATTCCGTTCTTGGAATTTTTTTTAGGGTTAAATATAGTAAACTCCCTTAACTTTACATTTATCTGCCACGTTTATATTTAGTTGCACATTTGTGATTTTTTTTGAAACATGATTGTAATTTGCAAAGCTCATTTGTAGGGGTGGTTATAGGATTAGTGTGGTGACAAATATTTCTTAATTATAAAAATATAACATTGTATTAAAATAGCATATAAATAAGCATTTGTCTTTAATTAAGGAGTAAAAATGATTTAAAGTATAAATAACAAACTATAAACAATTTATGAAGTAGATAGTGAGAATATTTTAAATTTTAAATTTGATTTGTAATAGGGTTGGTTATAACCCACTACTTTTTATGTATTAAAGTAAATACAAAAATTTAGAAAAAAGAATGAGAAATTTGGAAGTCATTAAGAGAGTCTCTGCTAGAAACCCCTTCTACAATACATATAGATATAGATATAGATACCCTGTGAACAACTAAATACTTCTACGACTATAAAAGAAAAAAAAAATGCACGAACTAAACAAAAATGACGACTCCGAAGCCTAGGCCAATCAGCCATGTTGTCCTTCCTCCGGGATTTATTTGTCCTAGCCATTGTATCTGCATGTTATCCAAAATGCAAGTTTGGAGGAGCAAAAAGAAAGCCCTTCCCTTCTCCAAGTATGGACTACAGAATAAATGATAATACCTTTTCCGCCCGACATTTTCGCTTGTCCCAGAATCATATCAACCGCGTTATGCAAAATGCAAGTTCTGCAGTGCCAAAGAAATCCCTTCTTTATTCCCCTGCATTAACTAGATATTACATAGTACCTCTGTGCTTTGCACTTCTGGATCTCCTCAACCGGTTGCTCTCGTGCAAAAAAAAAAAAAAATCTCCCGCACTCAATAAGGAGCAACAATATTCGATTTGAAGGGCAACCAAACTCTGGAAAATATTTTATTGATCTCACAACAGCAAGGAGAAACATGCTTTTAAATATCTATATCTATATAAATTTGAGAAGGGATTTTTAGCAACAAGCCTCCACGCATCTTCCTACTACCAATTCAATTTTTCTAGCATTTCACATTTAATTCAATTTATAAAATATATTTCTCTCAACTTCCACATCTACTCTTCACATTTGAAATTGTTGGTTACTTTTTAAAATCATTCCATTTTAAATCATTGGTTAATGTGCATGTTATCCTTTATGAATTTCAACCCAGCACGTTTCCGATTGTCTTGCGTTATTTATGATTCTACAATAAGTAAAACTTCTATAAGACCATAAGAATCTATATCTATATCTATATAAATTTGAGAAGGGATTTTTAGCAACAAACCTCCACGCATCTTCCTACTACCAATTCAATTTTTCTACCATTTCATATTTAATTTAATTTATAAAATATATTCTTCTCAAATTCCACTTCTACTCTTCACATTTGAAATTGTTGGTTACTTTTTAAAATCATTCCATTTTAAATCGTTGGTTAATGTGCATGTTATCTTATATGAACTTCAATCCAGCACGTTTCCAATTGCCTTGCGTTATTTATGATTCTACAACAATTAAAACTTCTATAAGACCATAAGAATCTATATCTCTATAAATTTGAGAAGGGATTTTTAGCGACAAGCCTCCGCGCATCTTCTTACTGTCAATTCAATTTTTCTAGCATTTCCCATTTAATTTAATTTATAAAATATATTCTTCTCAACTTCCACATCTACTCTCCACTTTTGAAATTGTTGGTTATTTTTTAAAATCATTCTATTTTAAATCGTTGGTTAATGTGCATGTTATCCTATATGAATTTCAACCCATCACGTTTCCTATTGCCTTGCATTATTTATGATTCTACAACAATTAAAACTTCTATAAGACCATAAGAAGAGATAACAAATATAACATCCTTTTATGCTTTCTTATTAATTTAAATAAGTAAGATTATTTACACTCTATTTTTGTTATTCACACTTCAATAATCATTTTGATCATATAATTTTCAGTAATTAGACTATATGATAAAACAAATGATGGAATTGCAAATAATTAAAAATTGAGTGCAAATAACATTTTCTTAAGTAAGAAATGGCTCCCATGCCTTTCTAATTTAAAAAAGTAGTGGCCCCGCCTATATAGAAATTTGGTTTAAAGTTTATTAGTGGGAGGGTAAATAAAAAGAAAATATTGCCAAACTTAGTAAAAGTAAAAAAGTAAATGATAATATTTTATCTTTAAACTTAGCAATCCTTGGTAAAAGGGCAAAATTAAATAGAAAACAAGAAGAAAATAATGTCGTGGATTTAAAAAATCAATAATGGTACCATTCATGAAATTCAAATTATGAAATCACTAAATAAAAAACAAAGTACTTTTAGCCTTTTAATGTCGAAATTTTTTTAAAATATTCATTTTTGATAAAAAAAAATAATGATAATAACAACACTAATTCTACCAAAAATTTTTAAAAAAATAATATTATAGTTTAAGAGAAAGATATAGAACATTCAAACATAAAATGCTACTTAATTTGTATATATCTGGCCCAAATTTGACATTAGATTTGAATAAGAGTGCAAAACTCAAACACTAAAGATAACTTTTGGTATCATTAATTATTTTATGTATTCTTATTGCTCTCTGCATATGTAAATATGTATTTGCCATGTTAAAATATATATATATATATATGTATATATTGATTGCAGTACTTGAGGATATTATAGATATTACCAGTTTTTCATTTCCATTTTAGATACTAATAATTGCAACCATTGTAATTAATTTTCAATTTTATTTTCATTATGATAGGTAAAGTTAAATATATTGGGTCGCAGAAATATGCATTTAGAAGTTATGTATAGGGGGAGGAGCGAGGGAAGAAAATGGTGAGGTGTTGAAAAGTAGCAGGAAAGGTTGAAGAACAAATATGGGTTACAAGGATGGGCAAAGAAGGGAGAGAAGAAGAAAGGGGATTGCAGGAATATGACAGAAATGACAAAAAAAAAAATAGAGAGGATAGTACCATGATAGAAGATATGAAAGTCGTAGAAGGCATCTGATGACTAACTGGCGAAATAAAAGAAGAGAGAAATGATAGATTTTTAATAATTTTGAAAACTCTAAAAACACATATTACGGAAATTTTTTTTTAAAAATATACGTTAAAATTTATGAAAAATGCTAAGTTAAATGCAGTCAATAATTTTAGGGGCACAAGATAGGAGAAATTTTTTTTTTCTAAAAATGGAAGAAAATAAATTGGTTATAATTTATTTTTTTATATTATAAGTTTTGATATATGAGTATAACATAATATGTTTTGTCGGATATTGGTAAATTGACTTTTTTTTAGAAAACTCTTCTCACCTTACCACCCAACCTAACCCTCTCATTAAATGCGTTAACAATTCTTTTATCATGTAAATCATTATATATTAATTTTTTTCCCAAGATATTAAGCATATACTTCTTTAAAATTTTTAGTCTATATATATTTATTATTTTGTACCACAATATATAAAATATTATTTTGATTTGAAATATAACCCGTGCATAGCACGGGTCAAAAATACTAGTTAAAAAAATTTTGGACTACTTTTTAGAATATTTTTAAAAATTTTTATAGTATATAAAAAATTAATTTTTAAAAAACTGATGAATCCAAACAGTTCTTTTATTCTTAGGTTTTTCTAATAAGTGTTCACGAACACTTTGTTAGCATATCTAAATAATATTTAATCTATTGTATGAATAAAGAAGACACTTGTAATTATTAACTTCTCTTGCATTTATATGCCTTTTTTCAATTGATCTCCATTTTTCTAAAAAAAATTTAACACGTAAACGCATCGGTACTTATCCACAAAAGAATTAAACGAGTCCATGCACACTTTTGTGGCACAAAAATGTTTCGGTGTTATCTTACCTGCAAAATTCCAATATCTAACCGCAGAGTCAAGAGGTAGACATGAGGAGGCATACCCACCAAGTTGTTCTTAATATTTGCTCTTAGAACATAGAGTTGAAAAAACCATCGACGAACAAAAGCTTCCCGCAGCATCTGCAAATATGGCGGCACTGAATTGTATAGACCTCTCCAGTTCCGACATACAAAAATCTGTCTCTCTCCTCAGACAGGCAGGCACTCCACTCCTCCTTTTCTTTTTATTCCACCACCACCCCCCCCCCCCACAACACCTGCTATCGTTCGATTTAAGTTTATTTTTGTGCATTCTTTGGTCTATCTGTGGGGTAAATTTACAGTTTTTTCCGATGATGAGTAATTTATTTTGAAGGTTGAAGAACTAAAGGAGTGAATATATCAGTAGAAAGTGGGACTAATACTTCTTAGCAAGTAATGAATTGTTCAGTTGTTAAGTTAGTATATAGTATTTCCATGCAACGATGCAATAGATACAGTAAGTAACGTAACGTAACTCTGCGTCTCAATTCTATGATCACTTTTATTGATTAGTGCTGCATTAATTTGTTATTGCAGCTATACATGGATAACCTGTTCTTGCCTGCACAAATACTCTTACAATAATATACACCTTTATCTAAAGCCGTTTCCATTCTCCATATCAGTGCTTTCCAATGATTGGCATCATTCTGGGAGTTGAGTTACTTACTCCTAATGATGTTACCGTTTATTTAGGCTTGCTCGGACTCTGGATTTTTTTATGTAGTCAATCATGGTATCAGCCCAGAATTTATGGATGAGGTCTTTTCTCAAAGCAAAAGGTTCTTTAGTCTACCACTTGATGAAAAGATGAAGCTTCTCAGGAATGAAAAAAACCGTGGTTACACTCCTCTTCTAGATCAGCATCTGGATCCTGTCAACCAGATACATGGTTTGTTTTCTCATACCTATTGCGTTTATCCTAATTTTTATATCCGATGGTTGTTTATACCAGAATATAAGGACAGGTGTAGCCAATGCATTATACAAGTGAATAGTTGGAGTTCATTCTCTCGTCGCTTTAGAGTATTTTCATTTTCAGCTACACTTTCCGGCCTTACATGTTGACTATATCAACTCCTGGTTGTGGCGATATTTAGCATTGCTATCAAATGTCACTTATCAGGCCTCTTTTATGTTGTTTATATGCTCCTTTTCTTTCTGCATCCTCTGTTCTCTTATGTGATGTTTGTGCATGCCACTTACCAGAATGAGCAGCAGAACTAAGTTCGTGTTTTTATTTGAGCTAAGCATTTCTGCGCCCTGATGTTCTTGTAGGAGATTATAAAGAAGGATATTACATTGGTGTGGAAATACCAGAAGATGATCCTCAAGCCAAAAAACCATTTCGTGGACCAAACTTGTGGCCTACAGCAGGTAACTTTGCTACGCAATTACTGTTACATGTTGAACATCAATCTTGCTTCATAAATCTTGCAAATCTTTTGGTTAAAAGTGGAATTTTTTTTTCTGTAAAGATATTTTGCCAGGATGGAGAGAAACTATGGAGAGATACCACCGTGAAGCACTGTAAGTATTGAGATGCCTATCATGTATCAGAAAAACTATCTATTTTTCTTGCATGTGGTTGTACTCATCGGTGCTGCAGAAGTAACTTAATGTCAAGTACTGACCTGAATCATCTTTGCTGTTGTATGAGTAAGCAGCGGATCAATTTAGTTAATCATATTGATTAATCATCTTTGGGTGCAAGGGTATATTTTTTTCTTAACCAATTTGCATTTCCATCACCTTAACAACATTTGATGTGTTAAATTCTGATGAAATTGGTGGTTGGGCCACTTAGATTGTAAATTGCTGGCCATCCGGTTAAATTACTTAATTCGATGTCACTGATGCATAAGATGTTATATCTCTGCTCCCATGCGGTTGTATATTTACAAAATCAGATAAATCATTATTTCTTTTAGCGGAACAGTCATTATTGATGAATATGTGTCATCAAATCGTGTTGAGTAAGTCCAAATACATAGATTTTGTATTCGCTCTCATTTCTAATACATTAATTGATTAGACTTAGACACAATTTTTTGAGTCGCCTATGATGTCTTTAATCGCTTGCTTGAATCCACACATTCACTGTTAATTCTTCCTAGTTTGAAGAATGGAATTCTGTGTTTAATTATCAGGTAATTAAACAATGATCACCACATTTCTCAAGCGAGAACCTATCATTTTGTTCATCATTTGACCATTGAAATATTGGTGCTTTTCATTTTGGAAAGGCTTATCTTGTTCCAAGGTACAATACTAGTCAATGATGTTGAAATGAAACTGAAGTCGTTGTCTGGTTCTGCATCTTTTCTTTTGCCAAATTTGAAAGGTTCTTGATTATCATCTTGTGATGTACTTTCAGCAGTTCTTTCCAAATGTTCCTACATTTAGCTCTACATCTTGCAGACTGCTTTTACAGCTTGTTTGATACTGACATCCTCTCTATCTTTATTCTTGCATTCAGTGAGGTTGCAAGGGCAGTTGCTAGAATTATAGCCCTAGCACTTGACCTGGATGGAAACTTTTTTGATCAATCAGAAATGCTAGGCGATCCTATTGCAATTTTGCGGCTGCTACATTATGAAGGTCAGGTTGTGGACAGTTTCCTAAAAGAAGGCTGTATTTATAAGCTGACATGAGCTTGATTAATTTCAGGTAAAATCTCTGAACCAGAGAGAGGAATATATGGTGCAGGTGCCCACAGTGACTTTGGCTTGCTTACCTTGTTAGCCACAGATGATGTCATTGGTCTTCAGGTATACACAAACGTTGGAATTAGATTGATTAGGAATGATCCCATAATTATTCTTGAGTGGGACCATGAACCTGCTGTTCCATTGCAGATATGCAAGGACAAGCATGTTGAGCCTCAGATTTGGGAATACGTGTCACCAGTAAAAGGGTAAGGCCTTTTTCTCTCAACGATCAGTTTCTCTTGAGTAGAAACGAATTTTCTGTTCCTGATTCCTTGTTTGGTGTGTTTGGACATTTCATCATACATATATTCAAAAAAAATTAAAAAAGGATATTTTGCAGTCACTCCATAGATTAAAAAGTCTTCAGCTCATGAATTAGTATAGGTCATTAACCTAAAGAACTTTCTTATGGTCATGCTCTTGGCATTCTGCCATTCTTATTTTTATTTGAGGACTTCTTGTTAAATTATTGTTGCAGCATAACTGTTATAGATTAGTCCCAATGATAAGTATCATGCTGCATTCTATGATGGCTGCAAATAAATAGTTGATGCACGATATGCAGAGCATTTATTGTGAATCTTGGAGATTTACTGGAGCGCTGGAGCAATTGTTCTTTCAGGTAATTATGAGTTTCTACTAAGCACAGTAATCCTTTTTTCCCCCTCCTGAAAAAATGAGAATGGATCTTGAGCTATTGCAACTGCATTTTTCTTATCTGTGTTTTAACACAAATTATGCCAATAATTGAATGTCAAACACAGACAAGGAGTTCCCATATTTTACCAGTCTTTTCTAGAAGCATTCAGTTTTTAATTAGACAGCTGTTTCAGTCAAGGAGCTCTCATGTTCTAGCACACATTGAACCTCATTATCTTTATGGTGGTTTCGGTGTAAGAAAAACAATCACTGATGTCTGAAGTTACAAACTCTTCGTAAAAGCAGTCATCCATATTCACTGGTTGGGTTATGAAGTTTGATAATTCAGGAAACCTGAAAATTTATAGTTGAGGGCCTGGAATTTATGGTTTCATGGAGATAAAATAATTGAATATCCAATTTACTGAACTTTCATCTCCGTGATGTTGAAATTGTTCTGTTGTGGGGATCATTTTCAGGTCAACAATACATCGAGTCTTGGTTAGCAGTCAAGAAAGATATTCTGTAAGGCTTTCTGAACCTCCTTATGTTCTGCAACAGCAATGTTTTGTTGGAATGAGATCCTCATCTTAAACAGTGTCTGCGTCAAATACATTAGCACAAGGAAAGTTTCAAACGTAGTTCTAAATAGTTAAATCTTTCTCAAGCCATAGCTTTACAGATACAGTGGACATTACAAGCTCAGCTGATTTCTCCATGAGAAATTTAGTTCTGTAAGCAGCGATCAGTGCCTTGCTAATTTCTTCTCTCTGTGATGGTGGGCAGATTGCTTTCTTCGTGTTTCCGAGTTTCAATTGTGTTGTCAAATGCCTGCCAGCCTGCCACTCAGAGGATAATCCTCCGAAGTATGTATTGCATTTTGATAGATGATATGGGATTTTGTAGGTCATTATTATCTTCTTTTAGTTGTTTTGGCCAGAAGAGATCTGCGATTGGTTGCAATGTTCACGTACGTAAAAAGTTTGGTCGTTAATTCTTAATTACAAGTTTTGTCTTTTTTCCGTCAAAATTCGCTCTTGGAATCGGTAATAGTAGATGCCAAGCTGTTTAGTTAGTAAATTTAGTTTGACCTCTAACATCCCACCCATGGTGGATCAGCAGAAAACTTTTGTATGCTTTGGCCAGATGTAATGGTCTTATTGTGTCATTGATTTATTGTATCTGTATTCAGGTTCCCACCCGTCACATGTGGAGCTTACTTGATGCAGAGATATGAAGATACGTATGTTGATCGGAGCTCCTAGGATAGTTCGACCCTTGATTGCCAAGGCATCAGTTGTTTCATGTAACGGATGGTGGATAAACATTCTATCAGTTGGTTTCCACTTTTTAACTCTTTTTTTTTTTTTTTTTTTTTGCGGGTGGCAGGCTCCTTTTTTTTCTCTTTTTTTTTGTGGTAAAAGTAGAAGTTTATTTTAGAAAGTATCTAAGTGTATTTATTGACATAATAAGTTAAATATAATCTATATCTATATGTATTGCAGAAGGGATTTTTGGCAGAAATCCTTTTAATGATCTTTAAACTTCTCATTCTTTTTTCTAAATTTTTGTATTTATTTTAATACATAAAAAGTAGTGGATTATAACCAACCCCGTCACAAATCAAATTTAAAATTTAAAACATTTCAACTATCTATTTCATAAATCGTTTATAGTTTATTATTTATACTTTAAATTTTTTTTACTTTTTAATTAAAAACAAATGCTTATTCGTATGCTATTTTAATATAATGTTACATTTTATAATTAAAAAATATTTGTCATCACATTAACCCTATAACCACCCCTATAAATGAGTTTTGCTAATTACAATTATGTTTCAAAAAAATTACAATCGTGCAACTAAATATAAAGTTGAGGGGGTAAAATGCAGCTAAATGTAAAGTTAAGGGAGTTTACTATATTTAACTCTAAAAAAAATCCCAAGGAACAAGTAGTGGATTATAGATTTTTGTCTAGATTTTTGTATTTATTTTAATACATAAAAAGTAGTGGATTATAACCAACCCTATCACCAGTCAATTTTAAAATTTAAAACTTTTTCATAATCTACTTCATAAACCGTTTATAGTTTGTTGTTTATACTTTAAATTCTTTTTACTCCTTAATTAAAGACAAATACTCATTCACATGCTATTTTAATACAATTTTAATTCGGAAGCATACAACATGATCAAGAAACAGCAGAACCAATTAGGACTAGATCTTGACCGAAAAAAAATTAGACCTAGATGCCACTGGCACGTTACCGTAACTTGCGATGTCAATTAGAACTATTTAGCGTTTTGTTCTTTTGCAAGGAGTTAGGACATTGTAAAGTTTATTTAGGCAAACTTTGCCTCATCGGTGATTTGAATATCAAGTTATTGAATATACTATAAATCCTATAATATCAGTCTACTACAAAAAAATAATTATTTTACTAGCATGTGTTATTTGCGTACAAAATTTCAGAGGTAAATCAAATATTTTTACTTATACTCTATATAATTTGAATAGTTTTTTAGCGAATATAACCATACTATGCAAGACCATCACTTTGTACAATTGAACCTAACAAATTATACATCACTTACAATTTAGATTTTGCTCGATACATGCGTAGTTGGTGAGTTCCATAGTAACACTACATCAAACTTCTAATGTTGTTTCATACTCTTATTAACATGTATTTCAAAAAATTGTAGGTTTGAAAATGATACATGTGCTCAAAAGTTAGTTACGTGGTTGAGGTCAAACAATTTTATAACATCACAAGCATTAGCAAATTCAAAAAGAATATGGATATCCGAATATACAATCATGCATACGGTATTCACACTAGTTTTATAGTATTCATGAGTACATTCAAACTAGTGTGAATACCCGTGAATACCATAAAACTAGTGTGAATACTATATGCATGATTATATATTCAGATATCCATATTTTCTTTGAATTTGCTATCAACAATGTTTGTGATGTTGTAAAATTGCTTGACTTTAACCACGTAACTAACTTTTGAGCACATGTATCATTTTTAAATCTATAATTTTTTGAAATATGCCGCGCCCCACTTTTTGATGGTGTGAAAGTAGTGTGTGGGATATGTATGTGAACGTGTGTGAAAATGAAAATAAAAGGCCGTGGCATTGTGATATGCGACGGTTTGGCCAATCAAAGTTCAAAAAGGATTTTTGAATGGAAAATGGAGTCGCCACTTGGTATAGAGTTAGGGTGTATCAAGTCACCCAAAAATGAATTTTTTGGAAAGAAAAGCAAACAAACCCTTTTGAAAAAACTTTTAGGTCTACGTAACCAAATAAAGGGATCGGGGGTCACATTTGATAAGAGAAAAGGCAAAGGCAAAGTCTAAGGCACTCCCTTACCCTAGCCAAAGCTAGTTGCGTTACTTAGCCCTTTTTTTCCTAATTCTTCTACCCTAAGTATGCGTTGCATGTTGGATGTGACTAATGGATATGACAAAAATGCAATCCTAAATCTAAAATGTCTCTTATGAGATTTTTTTGTCCCAATCACATGAGTTGTGATGGCCAATAAGGGAAACTCTCATAGAGGTCACGTGTAATGCAAATGAAGACCCAAATATGAGTGCAAATGTGAAAATGTAAGAGGAATGTAAAATAAAATAAAATAAAAATACAAATGTAAGTGCATGTGTGCAAATGTAAGAAAAGTGCATGTGTGTCAATTGAGCAGATGAAGGTGTGTGTGTGCAAGTGGATCAAAATATGGTATAATGGTAGTAAATGCATCTAAGTACAATTGGATGCAATTTGTGAGGTAGGAAATAAATAAGTGATAGGAAAAGAAGAGAAATGTGTGACATGGCATGTGGAGTGAGAAAAATATAAGTAGATGAAAAAATGATATGGTAAAATTGAGGTGCATGAACCTAGAGGAATGCATCAAGTCGGGTACGGGAATGACTCCTAACTTCACAATTTTAATTTTTCCTTTGATTAGAAGGAAGAACTAGCGTGCTAAGGCTATTTTGTAGCCACACTCGCTCGTTTTCGTTACCTAAAGGGGACTTTCAAGCAAATGTATCCCATAACTAGTATGAGAATGCAAAAACCTAAAATGAAGGGGAAAGGATCGGAGGAGCATGCCAAATGCTAGAAAACTAAGAAAAATGTATGAAATGTAGTGAAACATGCAAGTATGTGCTAACGAGAGGGGATGGCCTCTTGGGTCTAGCATTGGACTAGCCCATTTCTAAAATTCTCTCACAAGCATTGGACTTGCGAGAGCTCGGGGAGAAAGACCATGGCCAGCGTTGGACTAGTCACGGTGACGCATTCATCCATTGCATTTATCTATGACTATAAAAAGCAAGTAGACATGCCAATCACCTATAAACACGTAGCACATAACACTTAGCATGCTCGACTAAATGCAAGAACCTAATAAAGCAAATTAACACGTAGCAACAAAAGCAAACAATCAAGCTAATGAACCTATTACATTGGCTAACTAAAACAAATGGGGAAGGGAAAAAGTGAATAAAATGCTCTCCAAGCCCTATCTATTACAAGTCAAGAGGTGTACACATACCCCATAAATAAAAGAATGACTTAATAAAAGCAAAAGTAAATGGAATGAATCAAGGAAAAGCAAGGAAAACAAGCAAAGTGGACATGCAATTCTCATTTAGCACGTTGAATCACATAGGGGAGAGACAAAAAAGATAAAAGAAGTTATACCTCCCTTGCAATGGTGATCAAATGAAAGAAAAATGGCTTCAAAACAATAAAAAGGTCAAGATACCACTTTAATTGAGAAAAATTAAAAGAAATGCGCAAATACAAAGCTCACTTGATTGTAAAGCCCCTAAAGTCATGATTTAAGTGCAATTGAAACAAAGCATAGTAGTCAATTGAAGCAAACAAACAATGAAAAGTTGTAAAATTAGGGCTGCCAAGGACCAAATTGAGGAAATCATTCAATTGGTTGGGTCATAGTGGAACAAACCAAAAACCAAGGGGTTGAAATACAATTTTCCAAGGGAATCTCATGCATGCAAGCTACGAAGAACTCATTTTCTTCAGCCGAAAAGCATTCTGCAATTTTTTTTTCAGCCACGGCTTTTCTTTCCATTTCATCATGCAGACCAGATTTTGATTCAAATACACGGTTTTGATAAGATATTTTTTAACCCAACATCACAACCTTAAGCTAAGCAATAGACTACACAATGATCACAATCCAAATGACCAGAAAACTTGGAAATATATCATACCAAAATTCTGAAAAATACATGCAGAAATGGTTCGGCAGCCTGCTTGTTTGTTTTTCAGCAAGGTGTTCAAACATGATCCAAACATGCAAACATGCAAACTCAACACCAAACCTTCCATTGCTTCCCTTCAACACCAGATTAAGCATGCAACTTAAGTGTAAAAACTTGATGAACAGCCACGAAAAAGAAAAACAGCACAGAAAATGCAGCAGCTTTTTTTTTTTGCTTTGCTACGGATTTTTGTAGCTTCAGGCTCGCGTGGATTAAATGCCGAAAACATTGTGTTAGACCCATCATTTATCTACCAAACTCACGCATATCTTCAAACATCCGCCTATCACTGATCAAACATGGCTGTCTCCCCCCCAACGTACCCCAACCGAGATGGTCCAGGTCTAAGAAAGCAAGAACAATACATAATTAGCAGCGAAGAAACTCAGACGAAACATATGCTCATACCATTTCAACCAACCGAAACATGTTTACACAAATGATTCGAGCACATCCCCATTCATTTAATCCCGAAATGCATAGACTTGAAACAAAGGGAGAGGGAAAGATCTAACAAAGCTTTCGAACTCAAAATTGCAGCAAAACAATCTGGAAAAGCATGCTAACTCTGACTCAGATTTCCAGAAAATAAAGCAACCAAAACCTAAACTAAGAGGCCTGATTAAGCTATCAACTCTGATAGAAATAGGAAACAGATCCTTGGACAAAGAATGGACGGAAGGGAAGATGGAGGGAAGCAACAGGGAAAAGATCGAAGATTACCTCTTCACCACCTTCGGACTTGAATCTGCAGCAGGCCTCGGCAAGAGATTGAAGAGGCCCCACCAGAGATTGAAAAAGATGAATTTTTTGCAGACTTTTGGTGAAGAAAGCGCGGGCTTGAGATTCTGGCCCCTTACTTCTTTCACAGCCGAACCCCTTTTGCTTCGTTTCTTTTTGGTTTCTTCTCCAGCCCTCTTAATCAGCCCAAAATTCACTCTCGGGTTTCCTTCTTTTTCCCTTTCGGTGGTTTTCTCTCCGCTACCCTGAAGCCTTTCTCTC